AAACGAGGTATTTTAATCACTTTTACTTTCTGTGGGCTTGATTTACGCATTTCTGATATCAATACAATCTGTTTTGTTTGAGTAATATTACTAGGGTACGGCGGATCATTAGCTGGCATCATTAAACGCCCGAAATCGTCAGTGTGCGTGGATGACGTCAAATCGTCACCTGTCATTGGACCCCTCCCTTACCCCATTAGAAAGCTACAAATGGACGGTATTATGCGATAGACTTGTGTCTACTAAGTATTAGCAAGCTTTTAAGACTTTCAAAACTATTCCCTTAACAATGAACTAAATAACGGTGTACTTTTGTGGCAAGGCTTTTTTCTTGATCATCAATTTCATTTTTATTTGCCTATCTAATAAATAGTCTTAGATAATGCATTCTGATTGAGAACTAAATATGATCGTCAATTCCAGTAGCAAGTCCTTAATCGTTTATTTCCATTAATCACAGTAAATCTCTGACGTATAGTAATATTGGTTAACTACATCGCGTGCAGACTTTTTAATATTTTTATAGCCGACATGGGTCAATAGACCGTTGGACGATGGCTACTGGCCATAAGTGAACTAACCAACGAAGTAATTCCATTCTCGAAATTAGCATGCTAATGATCGAGGTCATGCTCTTGCGAATCAAGCGAAGCGAACTATGTAATTTATGAAAATATGGCCTCATATTTAGTTTTTTCGGACTGAAAGAGTACATTTTTGGAAGCAATCCATAAAATTGAGTCTCTTGTAAGTCACCGCTGCACGTATCAACTGAAGCAACGAAGGGGTTTTCCAGAATAAGGTCACAATCGACTTTAAGGACGCTACAGTTTTCGGAAATAAAATCTCATGAGTCACCCGTCCTTGTATTCGTCATGTAACTTAATATAGTAGTTTCCTGACGGGATAGGCGAAAATGTTGCTATTTTCCTATTCCTATTTAATAGAAAGTAGGTAGTATAGAGTTAAGATACAGGCAATATTTTTACATAACCTGGAAATGAGCCCGTAGCTTACTACGGTTCCCAGGTTACTTAATATTATTAGTTAAAAGTTTTAACCCATGGTATGCGCGAGACAATGTCTTTTCTATTGTGTCTCATATGGCCGGCAGATAAAAGGTGAACACATAGATTATTTATATATGTGTTCATAACTTTTTTCACTTTCGAAGTTCCGCCACTTCTACCTTTACAGAGTGCCTTAACTTTTTTTGGGTTTTATACATTCCAAGACAAACTTGAAACAGTATAATTCCGTATATTCTGTCGACTACATTAGTCAAATTGAAAAGGCTTCCAGCGAATTTAAAACAAGGAAATGATAGTCTTTATTGCCCAATTCCGTTACTATGCCTCAGGACAGATTGAGATTAATCATAAAATTTTAAAGTACCCATTTCTAAATTGGGTGTCTTGTGTTCGTGAATGGTATAGAAGTATAAAACAAAAACATTCAGTACTTTCCTCGCTTACGCATAACTACGCAGAATTACGATCCAAGAACGATCATAAACTAGGAATTTCAAAATGAACGATTAAAGTAAGAATTATATTAGTTAATAGGCATAGGTATAGAAACCGCCTAGGTGACCTGTTTTACGACCAACAGATTAATCTATAGTTAAGTTTCCTTCCGACTATGCACCGTTAAAAGTTTGTAGCTACACAGATTAAATGGTTAATTTCACAACTTCAACTCGATATGGGAAATGGGATTGGAAGGTGAGACAGGAATCTGTTATGGAGAAACGAAGTGAAGTGTAAAAGTCACATAAACTTGAAAACAATATTGACATTTGAACATCCAATTGCGAAAAGAAAGTTCAAGGAGACGAACCGTCGACATTCGTTCGACTTGAATAATTGAAACGATTAATTGATCGATAGGCGTGAGAGTGGCAGCAGCCGACGCGACGGTAAGCTCCAGTCACGTCACTACTTACAATAAAGCAATATTAATAAATAATCATGGAATCTTCGTGTAACAAGTTCGACAAATGATTGTGCAATGATTGCCTAAGTGATTATGTGAAAATGAACATAACTGTTTTACAAGTACGCTGTTGATTATTATGTAAGATAAGGCACATCACATCAGTTATTTAGTGCACGCATACGCAACAACAATGTTTCTGCAATAAAGTCACTTTATATACCTAGTTTAAAAAAAATGTGGCTATTTAGTACTGGTTTTGATGACTTGCACTTCAGACTCTACTTCGCCTTTTTGAGGTGAATATGTTTTCAGAGTAGGTTCAGTACACAGAAGTCAGAAGCAAGTGTTTAACAATGTCGAATTAAGTTTCTGTTAGTGTAACTGATAGATAATTTTATGTATTTATTTATGTATTTTTACCAATTATGAAATGTGTTTAAATATGTGCCAGTTAAGTTACCAAAAACTTAATTGGACATTGTGGCATAGGCGTCCATATCATATCAAAGAGATGAACAGAGCATAAGTGATGAGGGTCACATTACTGGAGGCTACCATCAGTTTCATACATTTCAAAATCAAAAACCTGGTGTGAACTTTTTGATTCTAAAATTGAAGGTTAAGCTCCATATGAATACATAATAAGAAGACCACTTGATAAGACAATTTCGCATTTATTAATTCAATTTTTTTTTTCAAAAACCTTAATTGGTCTTTGAGATAAAAATGTACATTTTGTGATATTGATATCTCATCACAATCTGTATTACAGTGAGTAAGGGTTAAAACATTTAGGTATGATAACCGATACAATATCTACATTTCACATGAATATGACTCATATTCCCTTGATCTGACACTGAACTCAAATATGTCATCGATATAATACTAATTAAACTTTTCTCAACCTAATAACTGTATACTAATTACTTATGATGAGTAATAATGTATAATTAATTACCTTTGGACACATTAATAATTTTGATCTAAGGGTGGTACAAAATACTGAGGCATAGTAAAGAGGTCAATTTAGAACTCGGGTTGGGCTAGTTGGAACTCACATATCACATGTCATCACGCTTATTATTGGTCGAGAGGGTGAACATAGGTGCACTTGCAAATTCGGTTAATGTACTAAAATTAACACATACTTTTCGCTGATTGGTTTATTCTCGATTTCCTCATTCAAGACTTATGATAACTAGAGTAACCGCTAAACATAAGAAAGACGCCTGTGGGACAAATCAGCTGCTTCACAGCTATTTACAATCAGACAGGAAACATAACTGGGTAAAATAAATAATTAAAAGTGTGCACAGTAATGCATTTCAATATTTGCTCAGCACTATAAGTTAACAGCTAACATGACCAATTATTATTGTAAGAAATTTTTTAAGCTTGATATTGGCCTCTTAGAGTTAAAGATAAATTATTAACTCGTCGAGTACCGGTTTTATAGACACAATTAAAGAACAATAGGTTGCGGTCACCGGTGACCGCTTGGTGTTTGACAGTTTAAAGCATGAGAATATTTTCATATAAACATTAAAAATTCCAATATGAAAATTTGATTTATTAATCCTAACTACAAAGTTCTTAATGTCCAATGTAAAATAACTAAAAGTTTTTTTTGCAAATTAACAATATGTTCTACTTGAATATTTGCAATTAAAAATTAAAAAATTTACTTGGTTTTTATCGAATAGTTAAGTTGTAGTTAATGTCTAATTAGATTCTTAATTCTCTCAAGGAAAAGAATTGGCAACACACAATAAGGTTCAAAAAGGATTGTTTCATTGATTGAAACTTAACAAATTAATTAATAAATTTATGAAATCTATAAATATAAATAAAATGTTGATAGTCTAATTATGTAATTTATATAAGAATAATTGGTAAATTCACGTTGCTGAAGTAGGAGGAATGGCATAATGTAAGTAGGTAATAAAAACACAAGTGGGTAATCTTGACAGTGTAATAAAATGGTCTTTATCATTATCAGATAAGTAATGTAATTGAAACTGTCTCTGTTACCAGTTGTCAGTAAGATATCCAATGTTCGAAATACATTAGAAGATCCTTATTTGTTATTATTTACATTCAACACCATTCTTCTGAAGACAAGTAACAAGCATTATCAGATGTCAAGTCTGCTTTAGTGAAGGATTTGTCTTCTTACATCACTAGGATTATTCTAACAGTTAATAAATAAACTCTTATTCATTTAAATTCATATAATGTTTCAAAGTGAAAGTATCAAAGCAGAAGTTGACATCATTCAACGAAATAACCATCAACAGTTATTGAGAAATGAGAGGCAAATACATACATGTAAACGATCCTGGATGAAAAATGGACACATCTGCCACTATCACTATATGCTGTTATTGTTATTTATACCGACTCAACTCGTTTTTCCTTGATAAAATTAATAAACTTAACGTTATCCACTATTCACCGCAAATCAGAATTACTGACCGACCGCACTGAACTAAAATAAGTAGGGGAAGATGACCGAGTTGAAAATGACATGTCTACCTGACCAAAGAGCATAAAATTTTACTTGACCAGAAATAACAAATAGCGTTTTTTTTTAGATTTAAATAAAAAAGGACTTACTATAATAGAGTTATGGTGCCAAAATGGCAAGGATAATAATTTTCACTGATATGAAGCCTAATGAATACAGTTTTTAGGACATTAATGCATTAATGATATAAAAAACAAAAAAAAAAAGATTGGCTTCGGTTTCGATAGTCGCTATCCACCGCTCGTCATCCCGGTCCCCTCGTTAATTTTATAGTCTATGGCTGTGTCAATGTCAAACTTTGAAGCAGTCATTCATTCGTTCATTGTCAAAATTGTCAACAACGTTGTTGGAGTCCCGAATGGAGTAGCATTTTTCAGGAACTTAAAGTTTGTATCGTTATTGAAAGCTTTAAATTATATCCAATTTCAATCAGATAGTAATTAAATTCTTTCTCACTGTAATAACAATATTGTCAAAGTAAAATAAAGTATGTCTTTATTTTAGTTGATTTCCACGAGTTTGTTTGGAGATAATGAGTACAATGAATATTTCCATTGAAAAGAAGAGATCCGACTGTCCAGCCTTACCCAAAGGCTGGCAACGGGAGGAAGTACTAAGAAAGACTGGTTTGTCTGCCGGAAAAGTTGATGTATACTATTACAGGTAAGAAACGAAACATTTACACTAAAAATCACTTCTCGACTTACAACAATGTTCATAGTTTTAATTCAATAAAATACTTTTTATTGTCTCCTTTACATTGTAATTAAATTTAAATCTAAATAAAAACAACAATTTCTTACATTAATTTGCCATAAATTTATCAGGAAGTAAATCACAATTAGCATGTTCACTGTCAGAATTAAATTAGGTATAAGCTAAGATACTATATTATATAGAAATAAAACCATTCACATACTATTAATAACTTAGAATAAGCTAAAATCTGTAAATGAATGGTCAGTTAACATGGCTAATAAATTGTCTAACTTAACATTTACATATCCATCACTAAATCAGGGATTAACCGATGCTAATGCACTCCAGCTCTTGGCAAGTTGTTCCACAGTGACAGTAAACTTTTCTTGTAGCCCAACAGGTAAAAAGTTTCGCAGTAAGGCTGAACTAGTTCGTTATCTGGGTGATAGTATGGACCTGTCGTGTTTCGACTTTCAGCAGGGTCAGATAAACACTATGCTGCTGTGCAAGGCCAAGAAAGCACGCGCGCAGTTTGATTACAGGTTCCCATTAGTGTCATAACTTCTTCCACTTGTGTTGTGATCATTAGTGCAGTCCTGCTTATGTTCCATCTGTATTTATAATGCTATCCAATAGAAGCTTGTAATAAGTGTGCCTAGGTATAGTTTTGCTCTTTGTGTGTGAACAGTGATTATGTTTTGTGTTTTGAAACGTAATCAGTGTTGTTTGTGTTTGTAGTAGTTGTTTAGACATCACACCAGATGCACCGCTTTACACAAACCAGTTTTAGTACCTGTTTATATGTTAACCAACCTCCTTGTTAGAGCTTAGGCTTTTAGTGCTTCATCATATCATTGATCATTGCCACTGTATCATATTTCGTACCTTGGCAGCTTTGCTAATGTTGTTTTATTAAGAAAACATAAAACCCGTGGCTTGAAAATGCAATAATAAAAGTAAAATATTGCAAGCATTATAGCCTAATTAAATGCCTGTAGAATGTTTATAACCTGTGGGGTCCTATCTGTTCCATGGTCACCTTTAATATTTCATGTAGTACATAGACTGCTTAGACACCCTACAGGTATCTGCAAATCCCATTCATGACTTATACATCATTTTCACTATTCTTTTACATTAAACTGCCTTGCTTGCTACACCATGCACAAAGCAGTATGTATTTTGTTTGTATTAGTAAATGAGAGTAAGTAAAATAACAATAGATATAAGTTTGTGTTGTTTATTACTGTGAATTAATCATATTTTGTTGGTTTCTAAATTAATTATTATAATGGATATAATCAGTGGTATTCACGGTGAAGTTTTATTAACCCATTTATGTTTGTAAAATTTGGACAGATTTGTTTTTTGCTAATTTCTTTAATATGTTCTTATCAAAATAACATTGCCTTACATTTTTTATCACTTACTGACTCAATCAATTTGTTTGTCTACTCCGCTATTGTATTAATGTCACTATAAACAGCAGTCACTAAACAGCATTACATAAAAAACATTTTACACTGATAAACATTGAAAATCTTTTATTATGAATTTTAATGTGTTTGCTATATCATAAACATTTTACTGTTTGGATTATATGCAACTTAATACAGATAACTACTTGTCCATACAGTCCTTGTCGTTATTTCATTATTCTAACTTATATACTCACATTCACCTCATTTTTTTTCCCAACATATTAGGGAAGAAAATCACCTATCAACCAACACTTAACGGGTGGAGGTAGTGTGTTAATTGTTAAAATGTTTAAATTAAGCATGTTTTGTGTTCCATGTGGCATGATTGTTTAGTCCATCAGTGTTATACTCCCTTGAATTTAAAAACACCTAGAAAAACTATTTCATTTAAATCTCAAAAGTAGAACTATATATCCAATTATTAAACTTTGTAATATTGTTGTATCTTTGAGCTTATCAATTAATACATATTTTGTTAATACAGGGGTGTTCGCTCTGATGCGTCTTTAGTACCACCTATTCGCCAGACTGCGTCGATTTTCAAGCAGCCAGTCACTGTCTATAAGACACAGGAAAGCAAAGTCAAAACAGACCTGAAACATGGCACACAGGAGAAACCAAAACAATTGTTCTGGGAAAAGAGGCTTGAAGTAAGTGATTTTATTCTTACATTGATATTTTGTAATAACCAACTAAGAACTGACCGCCAATTTGTTTTTTTTAAAACGTTGCCCTAACAGTCCAGCCCTACACCTAAACCCAAAATAACAATATGGTAGGTAAACACCCAAAAAATTGTCCCATGCTGAAATCAAACTTGCGAGTTGCGGCATGTGGCGCGTATTGCATCTGTACAAAATCTGCTCTTAATCATTTCATAATTAGCCTTTTATGCAATTAATATATCTATAGGTTATTTATGTTTTCAGGGTTTGACAGCGTGTGACGCGGATGGTGTGAAAGGCACCACATCGCTGCCGAAATATATCAAGCCCTTGGGACCATACAACTCCGATGCGACTATTATTCAGTCGCTGGCAACAGCTCTCCATGTTTCCTCTCAACCTATAACAGGTAGATATTTCAAAATTAAAATACACGTAAACATCAGAACGAGTTATTTTAGAAAAATCTGTATGTAGCCTCAGCTTTTTGGACACAAAGTGACACAATATGCCGGTTTTGCATAAAACAAAACCGATATTATGTGCCGAGAGGGAAAACATACAGCATTGCTTTGAAGAAGCAGTCGTATACTTTCAGCTCCATCTATGATCGACGTTAGTAAACACGTGGTTTCACCTAAATGTAACTAGATGGCGTTAGGTTGCACCAGCAAGACGCGCCGGAGCGTTAGACTTCGAATGTCATAGTCTTCACCAGGAAGAACTTCCGGCAATGCTGTATGTTTTCCCTCTCGGCACATAATATCGGTTTTGTTTTATGCAAAACCGGCATATTGATGTGCCTCCGGAAAACATACAGCATTGCTTTGAAGACGTGTTTGTTATCTGCTGGTGAAATGTATGTGCATGTAACACAACGCTATTTTGATTGATTATTTAGTAAATAAGTAAGACTTAGTATGAAAATAAGCTATTTATTCATTAATTTAACACTAGCCTACAATCCAATATAATATGAGACTTAATTATACCAACTATCAATAAATTAAATTAAATAATAAATGATTTAAAGAAAAAATTAACTCTGTAATCGTTAGATTAGGCTGGTTTAAAAGTACCAAAGAATGGATTACGATTATTTTTTGGAAGTGCTATCTCACGACAGTAATGATTAAAAAATGTATTAGAAGATTTCCAATTACCCCGTGACAGAATCTCATCTATTGGTTGATTATCTGACCACCCCAGGGAAGCCACAGCCGATCTACAGCTTCCTGGGGGTGCCTGAATCCCACTATCTCTCAACACTGATCGTATCCAGTTTCCTATCACAGTGCGGGACGCTGCTTTAACATTTTTATTTACAGTAATAAACAGACAATTTAAGCCATCAACTTCCAACCGTCTTGTTTTATTTTTGTCGTTTAAAAGTCTAATCAAAGTGACCGGGCATATGTTTTTATCATGATGTTTAGAAAACTTCCATGCAGATTGACGATAATTATGTGTATCAGTTTTAGAACCAAAATCTGGTATTAAATACAATTCTTCACCATTATCAAAGAAACGATCATTTGAAATTTTAAGTAAAGTTAAATCATGGACTCTGCGTCCCGAAGCTAATAATAAAACAGTAGCCGTTTTGCGAGCTAAATCAAATAAATTGTCTTTAGGAGGGTTAACTGAAAGCCAGTCCAATACTATTTGTGGATCCCATGTAGACGATGGTTTAGTAACTTTAGGTTTAGCTACTCCTATTGCTTTAAGGGTATGTTTTATAATGAAATTAGATAAAGGTTGTTGCTCTACGTGAGGTCCACAGAAGGTTAAAACTGCTGATTTGTGTACAAGAATCGTGCTGTAGGATAAGTTTTCTTTTAAGAAGAGATACATTAAAAATTTTGCAACATCAGCTGATTGTGGAGATTTTGGGTCTACTTGTCGCGTAGAACACCATGAAAGCCATCTTTTGAGCGCTGGAATGTATGTGGACAGTGTAGAGGGTCTCCAGCTTTTCTTCAAAAGGTCTTTTTCTTGTAGCGACCATTCCTTTATGTGTGCACCCCACCCCCAATTTTCCAAACTTTCAGGGTTAATGTCTGAGCCTGTGGGGGAGGTTGTAATGTCGCGAAATCTATCATGTTCTCTGCTAGATTCTGAAGCACCAGTGGATGGTCCAAAGCTCTTGATTTCAGATCTTGAAGCCAGAACGCCCGGGGCCACTCTGGTGCCACAATCAGGTAAATCCCCGTGGCCTGGTTGAGATGGGCTAGGACTTTTGGTAGTAAGGTTGGTGGGGGGAACACCCAAGCCCGTCGATAACACCATGTTTTGCTGAAGGCATCTATATAACTTGCCGATTGATCTCTGCAGTCTATCGATACATAATTTTGTACTACAGCGGTTTCTCGTGACGCAAATAGGTCGATCTCCGGTCGACCCCACCTCCGAAAAACTTCCGCAGTTGCTCGGGGTAGAAGATGCCATTCTGCTGGACGTTTTCCGCGAGATAGTCTGTCTGCTATTATGTTGTACCTCCCTGGTACGTACTGTGCGGATAGGGTTATCTTGAACTTAGGTGTAAGAGCTCGAAGGTTAGATTTAGTAAAGCTAACGATCTGGTCCCCCCTTCCTTCCGAATATAAGCAATCAAGGTCCTGTTGTCCGAAAGGACAAGTACGTGAGTTCTTTGCAACAACTTTGCATTTTCTTTGATTGCAGCCAAAACAGCGTACAGCTCTTTTTTGTTGCTGTGCCATTTTGTTTGTTGGGGCGACCATGCTCCTGATAATAACTTTCCGTCTATGTGGGCTCCCCATCCCAAATCCGAAGCGTCCGTCGCCAGGAAATGGGTAGCTGGCTCCTTGTGTATGGGCATACTGTGGCGTGTAGCTCCGCGCCACCACGTCATATTCTGGTATACCATTCGAGGAATGGGCTGTTTCTGGCGCGGTCGTTTCTTGTCGAAATGTCGCAGAAAAATCTGCATTTTTCGGCAATGTAGTCGACCCCGTGGTATTACGAAACTCGCAAAATTCAGTTGACCTAGTAGGCACTGTAACTCTCGAAGACTGATGTGGTCTCTGTTTAACAATCGACTGAGCGCATTGTTTAAGTTCTGAATTCTTTTTATTGGCAGTGACATTATATTCTCGGCGGTCTGCCACCGAATGCCCAGATATTCCAGATCCTGTGTTGGTGTCAAAATTGACTTTTGGTGATTGATCTGCCAGCCCAGTTGTTCCAAGTGCCTCACGGCTTCCGCAGCCTGATGACATAACTTGGATTGGTCCTGATGGACCAAAAGGAAGTCGTCTAGATAGACTAGAACCCGACATCCCTTTGCACGCAAGGTCTCCGCGACCCAGCATGTTACGGCCGAAAAAAGGTGAGGCGCTGAGGCCAGACCAAACGGTAGGCATGACATTTCGTACAAATGATCTTTGTAACTGATCCTTAAAAATGGACGGTGGGATTTTGCAACTGGTAGGTGAAAATACGCCTGAGAGATGTCTATTTTTGTCATCCAATCCCCAGGTTGAAGGAAATCTGGTATTGAAGCATGAAATCAGACGAAAGTGTTTTGTCTTTACAAATTCGTTCAGTTCTCGAAGATCGAATATAGGACGCATCGTTCCGTCGCTTTTCTTCCGAAGAAAAAGCTTGGAAACGAAACTCGGTGTTTTTGTGGTAACCGGTATCAGTACACCTTGATTTACAAGGTCTTTTATAATCAAAGACATTTCCGGTGATGGTTTGGTTGCATATTGCGTTAAAATTTTTCCCGTAGGCATTAACAAGGGAGGTTTCTTGTAAAAGGGTATTCGAAACCCTGAGATTGCAGAAATGATGAAATCGTTGGCACCCAATGCTTGCCAATGATTCCTGAACATTTTTAGGCAACCCCCCCTGAATTGTGGTACTGCATAGTCATTTTTTGTTATCTTTGTTTCGAAAGGAAGAATTTTTAGATTTGTAACCGTCACTTTTTCCTTTGTATGGTTTTGTTTGCTTTTTGAGGGTATCACGAAAATTTTTGTTCTGTGGTTGTGATTTGTATTTTGATGTAGAAGGGATTGCGTCTTTATTATATTTATTTTTAATTTGGTCCTTAACTATAGATTTAGTGGCTGTTGGTGGTGAAATCCAAAAATGGGGCCCTCCGAGGGATTGGATCAAAGACATAAGCTTCGGTTTGTCAAATAAAAATTCTTCACTAGGGGGTATGTTACTAAGTGCAGCTTGAATACTTTTATCGGAAATTTCGTTAATTAGTCTTTTGCGCCTGGTTTCAATGCACTCAGCCCTCTTGCCGCAAATTATTTGTAACGTCTGCTCAGATAATTTGTAGGACTGAGATGTCGTCCCAAACGACTCCGTAATTTTGTTAAAAAGATTATCGGGTATTAATTCCGTAGGATTGCCGTGTGCCCAATCAATTATCCCTTGTAAGCCGGACTGTAACAGTTCTCTTTGTTGCAATAAGGCATTGGTGGTGGCAGCCATAATTTCTTCTGTTGAAGCTAAGAAATCTTTTCCTTTACTCAAACAACACATTTCATCGTTAATTTTTAAATTACAGAATCCTGGAAAAGCGAGTAAATCTGCCAACGCCTTCTTATAACGAATATGATGCCACGCAGGCATATTAAATTGTTGCAGGTTTATTAACTGACGTAATAATTTGTCATTAGCGGGTTTGAGCACTTTTTTCTCGTCAAACACAGTCTTACAAAGGCCTAGGTCTAAAGATTTTGACGTTTGCGTCGACGGATTACACAAAAAATCGTTTTTCGTATTATCGGGTAGTTTATCCTCATTTTCACTAGAGTTTGCACTCGTAGTAGGCACACATTGTTGGTGCATAATAAAGTTGGTAAGAAAACATACCTGGTTGTATAACGCGTCGATCCGAGGATCGACCGTTACCTCAGTTTGTCGCTTCCGTTTTTTGCGAGGGGGTTCCTCTTCGCTTTCTGATGAACTGCTGTCTTCAGAGGTGTCCTGCTCTTCTTGATCGGGGTCCCTCTCGTTCACCGGCGAGCCCGAAACGACCGGTCGGTTGGCAACGGAAGCCTCCTCGACCTCGATGTCGTTACCCGACGCGATATTCATTGCAAATATCGAAAAATTTAAGCTTTAGTTAATTTAGGAGTTTAGACTCACTTAAGAAGGTTTTTTAAAATATTTTTATATTCAAAGTACTTTTGCACAAAGATTTACACTTAAGTTGTAATATCGACCGAACACGGCGAAAGTACACAACGCTGACATTCGAAGTCTAACGCTCCGGCGCGTCTTGCTGGTGCAACCTAACGCCATCTAGTTACATTTAGGTGAAACCACGTGTTTACTAACGTCGATCATAGATGGAGCTGAAAGTATACGACTGCTTCTTCAAAGCAATGCTGTATGTTTTCCGGAGGCACATCAATGATTATTACTTTCAGGTCAAACAGGATCAAAGCAGTCCATCCTAGAGAACCCTGGGGTTTTTTTAAACCCTGAGCAGCCGCTGATAGCATCAGTGACTATCACGAAAGATGACGTGAGACGGCAGGAAGAGCGCGTGCGCCGCGCTCGCCAGAGATTGCGGGAAGCGCTTGCGGTCGTATAGGGTTACGCCGGCGACGGAGGGCCCAGCGCCGACTCCGTCGCCGACTTGTCAGTCTCGTCCCGACTGTCGGACTCCGCTGAAGCCTCTCCCAAACCCTCATCTATGGACATGAACGTTGATGATTAAGTATTTTATATTATTGATGACGCCTGCCACGAGAATCTCGGCCGTTTCTCTGTTAGGCACATAAGAATTTTCCATGTTTTAATGTAAGGTGTAAAAATTGATTTGTCGACAAGACACTGTAAAAAATAAGCATAGATTACTTTAGTAGGAAGTCGAATATAGAAATGGTGTGGTGTGTTTGTAATTAAGCGTGTTCGTAAGGTGTTATGCAAAAAATAGAATTGAAGTGTGAACAGCAAAGTTATTATAATGTCAACAGCAACAGTTTAGTTTCTATAAACTTTTATGTACCAATTTTTTGTAAGATGGAATACTTATTTTGTTTCATAAATTAAAGTGCGATTTATTTATATTTAAGTCAGGTTGCTGTTGTCCGAAACCAATCTAAAAAAGGTTTTCAAATATTATATTATCTTATACAGGCATTTTACATAATTTCTTTATAAATCTTCTCAATTGAATCAAACATTGGGAACGATAAATGATGGCTAATATTAAATTAAGTAAAAATAATTTTGTATATTAACAATAAAAATTGAATAAAACTATATTAACTTTAATATTGTGTTTAATTTCATAAATATTTAAATAACAAAAAGTGAAGGAAGTGCAAATGACACTAACATTGTTAAGTTAATTAAAATATGTTCACAACCATAAAAAATATGACTATTACATTTCATTATTAAAATATAGGTAGATATTAAAAATCGTAGTGATAATAATAATAGAAATTGTGTAGTTGAAATCAATATTAATAAAATCGAATTAAATTTTGAGCTTGAAGCAATAACAAGTCCTAATCTTAGCAAAAGCTATAATTAGAAATCTAGCAAATCTGTAATTAAAAACTTTATGATTATGTAATGACTATATGTAATTCTTTTGTAATCAATAGGACTGACGAACATTATAAGGCTCTAAAATGGCACAGTGTTTCATGGAGACTATTTCAAAATGGACGGTTGCTATGTGTAGTATGAATTTGAGAAGCTGGCGTGCTTTATAAGTATCTAATAGAAATATATTTGAAATTCATATAATCTAATAGGACTTGTCATATAAAAATCTACTTGGGTCACCGGAGGTTTCTTTTAATGCTCAATCGGTGGTCCCTTGCTATATATCTTGTCAAAGCTAATAATTGAATCTTACTAAGCTAATTCATGTTAAAAATCAATTCCATTTGAAGATCAAAGTCTGATCAATGTCATCTTAATCTAGACCTACTTAACTGTTGAAACTATCATAACAAGAAACTTTCATAAGAATTAGGTATATTTTGTCTAAATGGAACTCCAATATTAAAATCATGATACATGTCAGGTATAATATATCTGATACATATTTCAATCCCAATAAACAAATGGTAATACCAATTCTTATACATCTACATAAGGAATTTAATTTTCTTTAATATTGCTCATTGTGCACATTTTCCCTAACTACATAAAATTAATGACTAGACTAATAACAGTCAATTTGTACGAAAACTTCCTTAACAACTATTTTTAAAAGCGTTTTTTATTAAATGACAATGTAGCATATTATGTATTTGAATATAGTTCATATTGAAAGGCCCCGTTGTAAGCATAAAAACTTAACATGATTATTTTAATACTAAGGGCTCTAACAAGTCGTAATGTTGATTTAATTTCTATATTCACTACTTTCTATAAATATTAATTTGGTAAAATTTATCATGTAATTACAACATTTATTGATAAGGCAGCAATAATAATATGTATTACATTACTTTGAACTATGTAAGAGTAAGTTTTATATTAAATTGGAATGCATTAAAATTATCACAAATGATATGTAGACAAATAAATTAGATTAAATGTAAACCATCAGTCTGAAGCTGATACGTAAATGATATGTCCAGTTGAACAGTAAAAAACATTTAAGTCCATGGATAAAAATTTGAAAACAATACTGTCCCAATAAAATAATATCCAATGAAATAATACTGTATCATTCGTGATTGTAAATCTGGCATCTTTCTGGATATTATAAATGTTTTCCATTTGCTGTACATATTGTCAACACCTTCCAAATTGGCTATGGCTAAATGATGTGAAGGTATTCTCTTCCCTATTCCAATTCGTCTAAAATGTTCATTTATAGTATTCTGATCTGAGGTTGGAGTGGGACCAACATTCATTTTTGTTGAACATATCCAGTACAATATCGGACTAGCTGATGCCAAAAGTCTAGTGGTCACTTGTATATGCACAAACATTATGCAGAATACACAGAGAAATAACATATGCACAATATATACAAATACAATAGGATCATTGGCCCCAAAACACTTAGAATATTGCTTTGGCCTGTAAGGCATCTTATTTGAATATCCAATAATATTAGATCTCAATCCGAGTCTAAAACACAGTCTTATGTTACATATTACATAAGACAAGCAATTGTACATCACTAACACTATTATAGGTGCAGCAAGAATAAAGTTAGGAATCTGTTTCAATTTATAATATTTGAAGAAACCAACATCCCAGTAATGACTTTGTATATAGGAATATGACAATGGTAAACTACTGTTACACCAGGACTCTCTGCACTACCAGGTAACACATACTCAGTGTTAGACAAAAATTCTGGTAAATTGTGATCATTGTGTACACAATACTTCAAATAATTATATGTTTGTACCAAAAGAAATGGCAACAGTGCTATAGTCACAGTCAAAAAAACTGATACAAGTGTCGTGAACAGTGGCAACAATAGGAATGGCAATATTATCTTATGTTTTAATGTCCTATATTTGTAAATAATTTCAGGTATAGTTCTCTCTATAACATTTTTAAAAGTTGCATAGAATATGAATCCTAAATTGACAGAACCATTTGACCGAGTGATCATGGAAAACCCGGCTGGTAGACCACTCATTATGTCAATGTTAGCAAATCTCAGAGTCTCACTTTCTGTACACTTGAACATTGTATAAAACGACATCCATGCAAACAGTGATTCTGAATATGGTGCAGAGAAGAAAATACTTGCAGGATTAACACAGTACAATACAACAGATTTATATGCTCTGCATTCACTACGTAAAATTCTTAAACTCAGTCTGTGTAACACATCTGCCGATTTAATAAAAAAAATAATATTTAAAATTGTTGCAGAAATTAACAAATTGCTATGAAAATTTAGCACTGTACCAAATACACTATTCAGTCCGTATGCAAAATATCTTACAAGTAATGGAAATAAAGGAAAGAATGCTAGACAATTTTCATAAGTGTATCCAAACTGTGCAATATGTATAAAGTATTGGGCATCCCATCTTTTCATGCCCCCTAATAACTTATCGACGATGACATCCGCATTCGATTTACGCAAGTTTGGGTCTTCAGGGCTAATAAATACATTAGCGTTATGGTCTGGTATGATAAGATTTGATATTGCTTGTAAGAAAATCAGTAGAATCCGAGTACTAAATGCAAACCATAAAATCTTCTGCCGTGGGGAATACATCTGAAATGCAACAATATTTTAGGCTATATCTTTAGATTTACATAATAAACACATAATGCATTGTAAATAATAAATACCTTATTAATTCACTTTCTTCATTTAAGATTCCTCATAACTTAATCAATATTATTATTGTCAATAAATTGAAATTCATTACAAATTCCAACTCGTTCCGCTTTTAGGTGACAGTGACGGCGTCGGCGAAATGTTTGACTTTGACAGTAATTTTGATAACAGATACAAAATATTTCTATAATGGTAATGTATGAAAGGGCTTTTTGGAGTCGCAATGGATAGTAACTGGGATAGTTGGGTTCAGGACGTTCCTGTTGAATGCAGAACTTGCCAGTCATAATATGTAAATTTTATCTACATCTACTGAGGACTGCAGTAATACACCCAATATGGGCCTGCGGACGGCGAGCATGATGGCTCACCGCCCGACCAGAACCAGACCTAAGCTAACGCGCGGCATGTGCCGTGCGCGCCTTAAAGAGCCATCAGACCACCACGGATGGGGCCCAATAAAGCTGATGCCGATACGGAACCGCGGAGAACTTAACGAGAGTTGCCGGAGCTCCGGCTCGAAGGGCAGGAGTAGGAACAGGGTGGTATTTAGTCAGCAAGAGTCTGACACTCCCTCCCGCCGTACCCAGGCGAGAGAAGTCATTCGATGATTTTCCCCAATACACTTATTCGTTCCCTTATATAAAACACATTTATTTTTAAAACCTCTAACCAGACGTGCTATAACCTCGATCATCGACAGGTCATACTGAATCTTTCAAGTTTAGAGACTTGTATCGAGGGAATGATATCCCTTGTTACCTACGTTCAAGATCAAATAAAAACCAAAGGATTATTTTAAAGTCAGAGGGTTAAGAAGTACATATTACAGGCGCTGTATATTCGTTAAACTATAATACTAGAATAGCCACAATAGGAATAAATAAAACAATCGTATTTAAATTTATTTATAATAATTGCATTCTGTCACGTAATAATATTGTTACACCCAGATTCATACGATTTTAAACAATTCTAGCAGTCTAGAACACATCACAGAGCACACGCTTTTTTAATTAAAACATGAATTTGATAAGCCAAATCAATAAGTACTATTTCAAAGTAACAAAAACGTGGTGTCAAAAGCATTCAAGCTAGCTAATAAAATAATAAAAGGAATGCGTAAATTTTTCTCAACTTCAAAATAAAGAGCAAGCCAATAAACATACGTCATTATCTAGTAGAAGAAAGGATATGTTTATAAATAAAGGTGCGCCTATGATCAATGCCTCTCTATACAAGAAATATTTAATACACAAAGTGATTCATCACTTCTGGGCAATTTTAACACATTTCCCTACAAAAATGAGCAACATTAGTACTCTTTCATACTTTTTACAACTTAAATTTAACTACCTATAAAACCACTACAATAGGCTACAAAAGAAAAGAGTAATATAAAAGTATTTTACCACCACAAAAAAAATATATTTTACATGGCTACAGACAAAAAGAACAAGCATAGACGGTATTGTTTTACAGGCAAGTTTTTTAAGTAAGTATATTTGGTTACACCAAGCATTGCAGTTATACAATGTTTTAAATTCATCTTAAAAAGCTGCCTGTATTATTAATACGAGTACATAAGAAGTAAAAGAAAACAATCGTGTTTTTGTCTTTTGTTATATTGATATATTTTTGTCCATATTCAAACCAATATTCAGTTTAACCTGACACAATGCAAAATAATCAGTCAACCTTATATACCCCATTAAATTGTGACTAAAGTAAAAAATCACCAAGAAACTGAAATTATACAAAAAATCAATAATTTTCGACAAAATGATAAACTTTTATTGCAAGTAAGTGCGTTTCTTCCACATATTTTTTTTTCGAAGCAAATCTATTTACATAAACCTATTATTTACGTAATTCTACGCCAGTGAGTTCACATCGATAACATAGAGTATAACAAGAATACATTAAATTAAATCGTAGAAATATATTTTATATTCCTTTACAGTAGTATAATAAAAAAATGACGATTTCATCAGGAATCCTAGTGTTTTTATTACTTAATGTATAAACAACAATTTTGCGTATTGCCTAAAACAAGAAGGAATGAATTTTTATCATTACAATATTAATTAGAGGAAACTGAGACGTGCGTAACGACAAACACGGTACTAAATTTGAAGAGTGTTATGTTATTGTTGAATTGTTGTCGCTAGCTCATCCTTACTTACACCATTGCATTCAAAACAAAATCAAGTGATAGTGCTTCCATAAAATGACATTATTCAAAAACTATGCACGTTTCAATGTTATGTAACTAAGTGTATGCATGTTATGTTAATAACTATTGAAATTACCTTTGAATAAATACGAAGATGAAGTGTATTTTCAATACTTATTACTTGTTGTAAAACACACTTTTTCGAATCCTGCCATTTTAAAAAGAGTAATTCAAATACATCACTCACACATTTTTTACCGAAACCGTAAACAATATAAATATGTAACTATAATGTTGTTACAAACTCACTTGGCACCATCAACAAGCGGATATAATATTTTATTTATTGAGGGATATGATGTATCAAAATATTGGATAATTTGTAGCTGTATACTGTACCTAGCTTGTTTCTTTTGTATGGCGACCATCAATGGGCCTAAAAGCCACACCCATACCCTAAATATAATATCACGACATCTTACATACCACACGTGACCACGAGTAATTAAGCTTTAAACAATAAATAACTGTGATAAGAAACAAAATGAACTTGATTTCGACCCGAATGGTAGTGAGATTGTAACTAAATTATAGTTTTAGGATGGTGTAAGCAAATCGTAGCCGCAGTAGTGGACGTCTAAGTTGCTAAGCGCTCGAGTGTTAGCTCATGGACAACTGGCCGAGGGCTAGTAACCTCTCCACCGCCGCGTTCACATCGCCGAATGTCGCGATTAGTGCTGAAAAAGATAACCATAGTTTTATTTAGTTTACAGATTTCGTATCTATAGTAAGTACAGTCTAGTATAGTATAGTTAATACAACTGAAAAAATATTGAATGTCAGGAACAACTTTACAAAAATTTTGTGTAATTTTTTTTATACCACGACGTTGGCAAGAAAACCACACTGCCCACCACCTAAGTGGTTACCGTGGCCTATGAACGCTTGCAAAACATGGGGCATTACATACGTATATTACTGAAAAGTTGACGGGTTTAAAGGTCCTTCTAGCCCACTACTGTCAGCATCAGGATGTTTAAATTATTATTTACCTTGCAGATTCGCTTCCCGGTTAAGGAAGCCCATAGCCGTAAGTTGTTCAAGTTGTTGCGAGTAGCGCTGCTCGGGCGGCTGTGATGAATTCGTCTGATTATTCGCCATGGCCGACATCATTCGCTGCATGAACTGTGTACGAAAAGTCATTTATTAATATTGGGTACTTACCAGGCATAATCTGAAAACAATATACTTTTACTTATACATACATGAACTTGCTAATGTCTAATCTACTGGTAAATGAAATTAAAGTTTGACATATCTACAGAAAACTACCAAAACTTATAGAACTATAATGCAACTATAATAACAATCGCTTTTAACCACTCAATGAAATAGAAAGATAATATACATATGAACATAACACATAGTTTCTAATTAGAATTATTCTAGCGATTGATTAAAAACAAGTGATTAAGTACCACATCGAAGTGCGGGCGGTGTGCGTATGACTGCGACGGAGCCGGCACATATAGACAAAGTATTTTATGTCTACCTTGTTAGTGGTTTCACTGCAGTTAAGAGCAAATTACTCGAAACTTGTTGTGAAACCACTGTTTAATAATATTATACTGCAATTATAATTATAATAAGCGTTGTATTCACCTCAAGGTTAAAAAATATCTATTTAAATTGTCTGAGAACTTTCTAGTTAAAAAATTGTTTATTAAATGACAAGACAATCGTTATTTCAAGCAGTGCAAATAATTTGTTTTAGTAAAATACTGTCTTATTCCTGAGTGTTCTTTAGAATTAATACTTATTTCCTACGATTAGTAAGTAAATTAATTAGTTGAACAATAAGCATTAGACGTAAATGTTATTGGTCACAACCTGCGTGAAGAGTTCAGAGTTCTGTTGTTGGCGCGGGGGTGCATTGGGCGGCGCGGCCGGGGCTGGCGGCGTGGTGGTGGGGGTGGCCGTGGCATTGCCCACGCCCAGCCCCAGGTTGCCCACCAGTGACGGCGCTGCAGTGCGGAGCTGCTCCAACCCTTGCTGGATCTGGAGTAATGCGTTCAGGGCCTGTAACATAATCCATACATACATTAATACATTAACAATATGAATTGACCTCATAAAGATGACTCATACAAACTTTGATAATGTTCATACAGTTTACTTATGTTCATATTAATGTATTTACGGGTCATTGTATCACCGTCGTCATCCAAAACGCAAGTTGAAGGAGCCGCATAAACATTGCACAATATCTAATTCTCAAAATAGTCATTTAATTTTAGAAGATTTTTGTAAATAATTTTAGTAAAAAATAGTTTTTTTTTCGCCAAAACACTGACCTGTGGGTTGGACATCATCTGCTGCATTTCTGGGTTCTGTAACTGTGCTAACATTTGCGGCATCATTGTGCGGATCTGTTCTTGTAGCTGAGGGTTGTTCGCGAACATCGGATTCTAAAATAAAAGTGTCAATTGAAAAACAAGAAAATCTAATAAAATGAGTTTGTAAGTGATCCGTTAAACTGACCCTAAAAAAATTGTTAGGAATCAAAGTCAATCAAGACCACTTACTCCTTTTATAAAAACAAGGTCCATTGAACTTTCGTTTTTAATGCTAAATATGAGAATTGGATAAAAATATAGTACCTGGTTAATAAGCTGGGATGCCATGTCAGGGTCAGCAGCGAGGGCCTGGAGCATAGTGTTGGTGTAGGGCGCGGACAGCATGGACTGCACGAGACGAGGGTTCTCCGACATCTGCTGCAGCAGCGACTGCATGCCCGGCGTGTTGATGAGGCCGGGCCCGGTGCCCGCCGTCGCCGTGCCGCCGCCGGTCCCCGCGGCCCCGCCGCCGCCGCCACCACCACCACCACCGCGCTGCCAAGGGTTGGGTAACGGTTGCCTGTTCTCAGCTCCCTGTTGCGGGTTTGTACCGTCTATGGGAAAAAATAGTAATTAATTCAGTTGGTAATTGACCTAATACAACAGGATGTCGTAACAGTCATTAGCACCAAGTACAACAGTAAAGAATCCATTTTTCTAATATTTAAATACTATATCTAATTTCCATTAAGTTCTGTGTCTACCCCTGTAGCTTGTTCTAAGGTTTTGCAGTAACTTCCATAAAATAAGCTAGTGTATTGAACTTGATAAATATAACTCACCAGAGTTGTCAACTAGTCCAGAGAAGGGGTTGCCTGCCATACTGCTAGCTACATTCAACATTGGCTCTTGGATGTCTCTGTACATGCGCTGCAATGCATTGTAGCCACCTGGAATAAGAAGCAGGAGAATTATATTTATTTCTCAAAAACAAAGGACAAGTATACCTATTATTTAACACAATGTGGTAAACTCATGAATATACAGTAATCATAATCATTGCAGCGTAGACCAAAAAAATACGTAGTTTATAATGTAATTTTCAAGTTAACCCATTTGGGCCCGCCGTCCCCATATGGGGACATGTTTTCTTTTACCCGCTGGTTATTAATTATTTTAGCTATCTTCACATTTCATGGGTATTTACAATGAGGAGTAGTGTACTTTCCTAAAATTATTAGAATTTTTGACAAATTGCTACAAAAAAGGGATCATATTGTCAATTTTATCAAGAGGAAGTGAAATGGGAATTATTATCGAAAGCAGAGGCGTTTTGTAGTACGTTATTATGAAGATTTATAAAACTTTTTTGTGATTATTGCTTGCTTATAGTGTCAATTAAAACAATATTGAAGAATATCCTTATACTTTCAATTCCGCTTAGGGGAAAGTTAGAAAAAATGATGGTGTCCTCGTATGGGGACAATGGGCACATCTGTAGTATATTTTTAAAACATTTATACCTGATTTATATTTTGTTTTCCAATTTCTAAAGGTCACCTTTAGGCTAAACTTAGTTATAGCTAATACTTGGTGACAACAGACGCTAATTCACGAAGAGCATCACCAATTCCGCCATATCTTTACGCGTTCATATCTAAAATCTGATGGGCATCAAGACCGAAGATGCAAAAGTCCACCTACAGTACCAGGCGTCGCATCCGATATCAGAATTCAGCAGTAGGGGGCATTCTTCCTCCAGCTGTATTCTGGAGGTCTACTCCGGTTCTCGAATGCGAAGTTTCGTTTGATTTGCGGCCGCAAACAACGTTTTCGGAACCATAGACAACTTTCGTGAACGAATGAATTCTACAATGAACGAATGAAGTGAAGATAAATAAATAGGCAATAAAAAAGTTTAGATTCGAAATTAAAAATACAATTTTATTTTAAGTAATTATATAACTAAAATGATAATGCCATAGCTTAGCACACATAATCATCAAGAAAATCATGAATAAGCTTTTAATATTAAGGTTTAAGATGGAAAATCTTAAACAGGATAAAAACCTCCTTTTAAAGATTTATTATACGACCAAGTTAAAAAGTTTAAGAATGTCATTTATTGACATTTATTTATAAAATAATGACAACCAAATTTATTAGTATTATATTAGTACAGTCAGTTAAAAAATTTAAATGTCTACATGAGAATTTGAAGACAATAAATTATTTTATGTTATGATGGTTAACAATATATTTTTGAAAGAATTTATCTTATCTATAAATGTTGTTACATTAATAAATGTGAAAGAATAGCGAAAATATGTACTAGCAATACTTAAGTTTATTTTTCTAGCGGTATTATTCGTTTTAAATTAAAACATTACACATGAAACATTTATGTACAATTCATAAGGTATTCAAATAAGTATTTGATTACCCTAAACGTTACTAACTCTCATAGACATGTAAAATTATATAGGTTCATGTTAACAAACTATTTGAGCTGACTGTACATTGATTTTATATCGTCATTTAAATGGTTTCTTTGGTGCCCTACGTGTTGCCCACACGAAGAAACCGTGATAAAACGAAGACTTGCAATTACTTTCATTGATTTTTTAATAAAATATAACTCAAACGAAAATCAAACGATAACTATTTTGGTTTCGTCGAAATGACATTAAACGTCCGAAGAATAATCTGTCAAACTCGAATTTTCGTTCGTGCGGATTGTACAATTAGAGTAGGGTTCCGAAAATATTGATGTCAAACAGTACATCTCATACTAATTTCTGGCTTGTTTCATTCCTTTTTCGTTCGTTTAAATGTCATTGTGGTAGGTAATCTTTGAATTTTCGTCCGAAACTTCGTTTTTCGTCGAATCGGAGTAGACCTCCTGGTGTCGTCACAGCGAAGTCCACCCAGAGGATAGAGTAGCATTATGCCCTGTATACGTTGACCACCGCCGTGTCTTCAGGGAAGTGATCGACGACGATAATCTTCCACGTCCAGCTTAGGTTCTGGCTGTGGTGCGGAGCGAGGGGAACTGGAAAACATCTCTTTCTGCGAAGCAGTCATAGTAGCAAGAACAGATCGCCGCCTAGAACCAGACCTGTACCTGTAAGGTGTGTGGCGTTACGCGCGTGCTTCAAAGTGCAGATCAGACCGCCTTAGATCGAGATGGCTCAGTGGGACAGATGCCCGACCACTGTGAATAACCTGGTGGGTTACCGGGGCTTCGGCTCGAAGCAGAATTAGGAATGTGTTGGTTTTTAGCCAGTAAGAGTCCCCCAGGTGGAAAAAACAAATGCATGATTTTTACCCTCAAAAAAAATATAGGCGCGTCACATCAAATTGATTTAGACATTTTCCGCAAAGATTTAGTTAATATCTGTTACGACACGCAGTTCGTCATAAAAAAACTGTGATATCAATGCAAATAATGCGTTAGAACCTTATGTGTCGAAAACAGTTACTACTCCGAAAAGTACTACACATGAGACCGTTGTCCCCAATCAAGGACGGCATTTTTTTTTATACTTCTAAATATATTTTTTGATTTTTTTTTGCTGATATTAGTTTGTGGGCTTCATATCATTGAGTTAATAAAGTTTTTTTTATTAAATTATGTGTAGTTTACATTTGGTCCCAAATGGGTTAACATAAACTGACAATTTTGTAGTAGATAAGTAAATACAAATAAAAAAATTAAATCAAATAATACACCTTGCAAACAACAGTAGTGAATAGAATGTAACAATAAAATTAAGAACAATAACTTAAGAATATCCAAATACGAAGTCGATATTTATTTAATTACAGTGTCCTTTTACTGAAAAAGAAAGAACAATCTTCTAATAATATCTCCTGTGTATTTAATAAATATAAATAATTCTGGTAGTTATTACTAACCAGGTATGCTTTCCAAGTTGGAGAGGGCGCGGTCATGAGATCGCATGAGTTCCTGCAACATGGCGGGATTGCGAGCCAACTCCATAGTCTGCCGCAAAAGCTCAGGGTTGTTCAGCATGTGGCTTATCTCTGGATTCCTCTGTAATAATAAAATGCTTTATTAAAACTTATTGTTTGTGTTTTCTAATATTATTGCAATAACAAAATCTCATAGCCAATTAAATCTAGATGTCCATTCAAAAATAGTTTAAAATTTAAACTTTTACTTAATTTTATTAGTTGTTCTATTCAATCAAAAGAAGCTGTACAGAAAAAATACACTGACTATATTCTATGAAGAATTTCTAAAAAGAATACTTACTGCCATAAGATCCTGCATCTGTGGGTTGGATGTGATGAGTGTTCGCATGTTCTCGGGGTCATTCATCATCTGTTGCACCAGTGGGTTGTCCAGCACTTGTCTCAACATGTCTGGGTTGGACAGGAGTTCTTGTTGCATACGAGCCTACAATAAGCACCATTGTAGAAAGAGAAAGAAAGAAAGATTGTTTATTTGTAAAACATGCATATACACGTTTGTATGTTTGTATGTATCACAAATTAGGCTAAATAAACCTTTAAAAAATTAGTAGTGAAAAAGTTGTTACAACTTATTCACCACAAGTTTTTATTTCAAGTCTGTTACTTACATTACATTCACACTAAACATTTGTAAGTTAATTTCATACCTGTAAATCCATAAAAGTGCTCTGGCCAAGACCCAAACTCTCTAGGCCTGCTAATCCACCCAATGAATTTAAACCAAATGGGGTAGCACCAACATCAGCTGAAATAGAAATAATTGAAAACAATAAAATATCTACATTCTATCCTATGTCACAAATGTTTTTCAATACTAAACTAAACTTTTAAGAGCAGCTTCTCCACTCTCATAAAAGTATCTGATAAAATGAACTGGTAGTTAGTGGCTATATGGCTATCCAGAGCCTGTGAAGCCAACCTTTAATCTAGTAAAGATAGATGCTAATAAACCTGTTGATATAACCAAGGAGTTCATAATTAAAAACATTTTATGCTTCATGATCATTAATTACTTCATTAACATTTTCACTATACATTTCTAATAAGATTTTTCTAGATTTTCATACAAACTTTTTCACAATATTGCATCATTTCTGTGTTACTGGCAGAGAAATGTCTAACCCTAATAATAGCAGTCACAAGCAACAGGATGAATCATTTTATTTCTTCATTCATCAGCTATCAATTTTGAGCTCATCAAATGGAAAATAACAAAGAATACTATGCCAAAGCTAAAGATTAGTCGTAGGTTAACATTTATAATCATTGTCATAGAATGTAATGAATTATGAACATTGCTTCTAATTGATATCATTACTGATTTATAGGAATCAACAGGTAAAACAAATAATTTCTTTAGAATTAAATTGAATGGAGTCAACCTATAGTTACAGACATGCTTCTAATATGTTTACTATTTGGAAAATTCTCAGAAGTAACATTTAATGATCTGATAATTGACTTATCCCTATTACATGGAAGTCTTAAATTGATAAGTGTTTAGTCAATTAATACTCATTTCTCTATCTAAGCATGATGTTAACATTTATACTTGTGTAATAATATCCTATACAGTTAGCCAGTCAATTTGAGAATTTAACCTATTATAAAGTCATTAAAATATTGTTTTTATAAAAAAACAGTTACAGTTGTGGTTTGGAATGTAAACAGAATGAATGAATGGTTCAAGGAAACTCCCTTTTTACACAAATATAATAATCATGTGTTAGTGGGTACATGGTATTGCTATCAAACTTGGTTGCACAAATTAAAGAATTTTATGTACTCTGTATATTTTTCAGTAATATTGACCTTAACATAATGTTGATAACATCAACTTTATCATTTTTTTATCAAAGAATACAGACATTACATAGACAATTCAAGAATAAGAATTTTGTTTATAATGTTACTTATTAACTGGTCAAATGAGACAATTCAGCACTATAAAAGATTTTTGTGTTTCACAATTTCGTCAGTTTTACTTGCATGTGACATTTTTAACTATCTAGAAACTTAAGTTATAACATTTAAAATAAACAATGAAAACGGAGTGACGTCTATCCGTGCAACTATGTGTTTAATAAATAATTTTACATTGAATTATTACTACACCTTTGATAAAATACTTTGTTCACTATTGTTCTAACTTTGCAAAACTCAATGTTGCTTGAATACATTAATTAGTCAATGACCTAATTAGAATATTACTTTAACAAATTCCAACATAGCTGTGCAACCATTACAATAACTATTATTTCTTCACAGAACCTTGAATTACACCATTGGACAAAATTTTCTTATTTAGAACCATAATATTATTGGCCAAGTAAATGCAAGGTTCACTAGCTCTGTTAGATGTAGCACTAAGGGAAATCCAAACCTACGTTTCACAATAATGGCAGGATGTAAGTAATTGAGTACCTGGAGGGCGACGTGTAGCGCCCTCAGGCTCGGGCCTCGGAGGAGTCTTTATCACGAGATGGACTGTCAGCCCGTCCTTGATGTTGTGCTGTTTCAGGGTGTCGGCATCGTTCAAGATTTTCCGGCAAATATGAGACATAACTGCTCCGGCTCTGCACTGAATTTAGGGGACAACACTTCCTTGAGCTAAAACCAAATAACAAATTCTTATTTACTTTACCGAATATCTAAATAAATGTCGTCAGTGATTGCGTGTGCAATATCTATGTTATTACGCCATGAGCAAAGTTTCTGGCGGCGCCGTACTCACTTTTTTAACGTCAGCATCCTCATCAATCTCTACTTGCTGTTTTTCTTTCGGTGTTTTCACTGTAATAGTAATTTTTTTGGGTTCGTCCTGTCCCTCTGCCATTTTGGCAAATCTAGAATGACTCTGTACTTTGGCGGAAAAGCAGAAATATGTACAAGAATGTAGAATTTGACGATTTGTGTTAAGTTGACGGCCCAGGGTACGGCCCACTTTGGTAAACGACTGAAGTTCCAAACCAAAATCACAAAAACAGATTTCAATTTTATCACACAAAAAATAGAGTTTAATTTGATTGATTCCCACGTAATGCTACGAAGATAGCAAATAATCGTTTTGTCTATGGAACCATTAATTTTTGTGACTGGACCGGACTCAAAAACAAGCTTAAAATCAAAGACAAAATTGCCACTCGAATAAAAGTCTATGGTAAATACAGGACAGTTTGTAACTTGAAATCAACAAATGAGTTTTAATATTTTTTATGCAAATAACAGAATGTAAAATACTGATTTTTTCTGATAGCTTCACTTTATAATAAAACAATTTCAGATAGAATGATTCATATTCAGATACTAATGATTATGCGGGTATTAATGAGAGTAATAATTTAAAACTTATCAGGATAAAGAATAATGAAGAAGCCTGCATTTTCAAATATTTTTTTCATATTAATGAGTATTTGAAGAAAATAATTAAGTTCTAAGGTTCACTTTATTATTACATAAATTACTATTTTATTCTTTTATTTTGTCATTACCAGTACGTGTACTTGCTGCACTTGTACCTTTTCTCAACGTAATATACATTCACTAATATTTACAATCAACCATTTCATTTTTTTTACTTTTTTAAGGTGTAAATATTTTAGTTTTTAGTTAATTATATTTTAAGTAGTATATATTTATTTAATTTAAATTCTTATTAATTTGACCATTTCTTGAATATAAAAGTTTATAACAAGAGATCTATGAAAAAAGAACTGCCTCTAATTATAAGTAACAAAATTGTACTTTTTTATTATACCTTTTTCTGTCATGGGTTCACAGTGGGCACAAAACGTATTTGATCGCATGTGTCATTTCACTTCCGGAAAACTCGGAAAAGTTTGATACTGAAACTTGCTGAAACGGAAGTGCCGTATACATTTATTTTGACTTGACAGCTGACATGAAACAAAAACAAAAAACAGTTTCCAATAATGTCTCTCGCAAAATTTTAATGAAATTACTACATAACAAAGTTTGGTAAGAAGAATTATATAAATGTAACTGTGTTATGAAAGTTTGTAATTTAATAATTCTATGGCATAAATTCCTGTTTCAGCGATTTTTAATTTTTGTTTTAGGCCTTCGTTGTTAGGTGACTTATTTCATAAGCACTGAGCGATATTATTGCACGCCGTAGAATGCCTAACACGAGTTTTTAGGTCGTTTATCACTAATATTAATTCATTGCAGCAAATGGAGGTAACTATTATTTAAATATTGGAAAATTAATAGATACTTGTTATGATCAGTTTAATTATTTTATAGGTGGATTTACAAGACACTTTCTTGCGTGAAGAGGACCAGCAATCGCAACATAGCTCGAAACAAACATATTCATTGCCAAACAAAAGGAAAAATGAGAAAGTGCAGGGTAAGAATTTTTATCCGTATTTTTTAAGCAGCTGTGTTAGCTGTTATATAGATAATTAATAAACCTATAAATAATTTAATGTTACAGAAGAGAAAGTGGCAACTGAGCAGCAAGCTAAGGAGGAAAAGGAACAGGCTGAAAACATAGCTTCAATGCTGATTCGTAACTACGACAATAAGTTATACGGAGAGGATGATACATCACAACCAACATCAAGAACAGCCCCCATTATACCTATGGAAGCTACACGCAAGAAAAAGAAGAGGAGGAGGTATCTCATACAAAAATTATAATGATCTTTTTGTCTACTATCAGTTTGTATAACTGCTCCTAACCCTTTGATCAATATTAAAACAGTAACAAAAGTTTTATTATTCCCGAGTACCGTGAAGCCAATAATTTTTAATTTGTAAGTACTTAAATATGCTAGTGACAGGACTATACTTAAATATGACTTAAAATTGCGTGGTGTATTTGTTATTATTTCATTGGTTTTGGTCAAAGTAATCTGAATTTCGAGTACTATTTATTATTCTTCCTCATTAGATCGCAAATATCAATATGTCTAACAAATTGCCGATATGAGTCAATAAGAAAGGTTGCTAGTGCTTTTGGGATGCGAGAAGTATCTGAGGAAGATGCTTGGAATTTTTACTGGACAGACATGAGCGTTTCTGTGGAAAGAGCAAAAGAAATGAAAAGGTTTCAACGCATTAATCATTTTCCTGGAATGTTAGAAATCTGCAGGTATACCTTTGATCTAATTAAGTTATTGATTATTATCATGTTTTTTATTTACTAAAACTTTTCAATCTCATAATGTATAACATTTTTAGGAAAGACTTGCTAGCACGGAATTTAAATAGAATGCAGAAAATTTATCCCAAAGAATACAATTTTTTTCCAAAAACTTGGTGTTTACCTGCTGAGTAAGTATTTTAAGTGACTGAATTTTTATTATAGTAATTTATGACCAATGAAAAATGTGTCTTAATACTCCTAATTATGTTGCAGTTTTGGTGAAGCACTAAACTACAGTAAGTCACGTAAAAATAAAACATTTATTATAAAACCGGAATGTGGGAGCCAAGGGCGCGGCATCTATCTTACCAAGTCGCTTAAAGATATTAAACCTACAGACAAACTTATCTGTCAGGTAAGATACACCGAATATTACTTTTAAAACCCTTGTTTTATTATATAAACGGTTGAAGAACAGCTCAGCTTACTATTTTCTCTTTGATTATATAGAAGAAATATCCGTTTTAGAAATGTTTTCCACATTTTAGGTGTATTTATCTAAGCCATACTTGGTTGATGGATACAAGTTCGATATTCGAGTATACACTCTATAACATCGTGCGACCCCCTTCGCATTTTTGTTTACAATGAAGGACTCGTAAGGTATTAGTAGCTCTCATCTTAATAATGGCTACTAATAAAATCATTTTCAGCTTTCATTTAGTTACTTACTCCTACTAAAAACAATCTTCATTATAAGTAGTTTAGATAAGTAAAACATCATCAGACCAAGAATGTTACCCTGAGGAACTCCCTTCATTGATTAACTAAATATTCACAACAATACGATAACTTTTATTTATTTTTTCTAAAATCAGTCATCTATTTGTGCATTTGCAACATTTAACTTATCTCTGCTATTATAACTTAAATTTACATACTGTAACTATGCTTATGGTTATCGAACGCTTAAGCTAAGTTAGAGAATAGGATATAAAATGTTTATTGTGATAATAATTAAATATAATTACTGTTTAAGGTTCGCAACGAGTCGGTACGCAGATCCTAATGTGAATAACACGACAAATGTGTTTATGCACCTAACAAACTACGCGCTAAACAAGCACAGCCGTACTTATGTGTATGATTCAGAAGCGGGAAGTAAACGGTGAGAATTATCTATATAAGTACCTATATTTACAATTATCGTATTATGCTTGATGGATGATTATTTAAGTTTGAATTTGATTAATTTAACCCTCTGTGTATATTCCCCATCAATTCTAAAAAGCATTATAAACTGACTATGATGGTCATGATCAAGTTTACATGAGGTTGAAGACTACATCCATTTGGTCGAGAAAATACTTACTTCCAAATTATGTACGTATAAGTAATTTCCCGTGACCTATTACTATTATCTTAAGTCTGGAGATAGGACTCCTAACTAATCGAATCTAACGTCACGATGAATTTCCATTCATCAGCAAGATATCCACTTTGAACAAGATCCTGTTGTCACAAGGCGTCGACCTGGACAGGCTGTGGCACGCCATAGACCAAGTTATCGTGAAGACTATAATATCTGCGTGGCCGATTCTCAAGCATAGCTACCACGCATGCTTTCCTTCGCATGATATGGTTCTTTTCAGTTTTATATTTGTTGAGCTTCTGAAAGCAGTTTTTGAGTAATTTTTAGCTTTTGTATTGATTCTTTGTACGTCGTTATTATAAAGTTTAATCGGTTATAATATTAAGGGATGCCATCTGTAACTGGTAGAGATTTTTTGTAACTGCTCTCCAACTTTTGAAAAATGAAACGATGGCTGGCCTTATTTATTTCGGACATTTCTAGAGCTTTGACGAAACTAGCCAGTATTTTAGATTTTTGCGCATTTTCTGTAAAGTAAGTGCAAGTAAATGATTACTTCTATTTTTATTAAGCTTATCAGTTTTAAGCAATCTGTTTTAATATCCGCCATTAAGGTTACTCTTAACTTTTTTGGATATCTTCTTTGTGCTACCAAATTTGTAAACGATAATGTAATTGCTGCTATTTTATTTTCTTCTTTCTCTACCAAAATTATATAATAAGCCCTTTATAGTACAGGACCCTTTTATAGCCTAGCATATTCTCTAAAGTTATTTATACTTACTGCATAATTAGTGTTATCTAGTTAGAACTTTTATAACATCTAGTTATTATCTTTTAATCGTATCCTAAACATATGTTATATTATATTATTGGGCCCGAATACTGAAAGGCTACTCAATTTTAAGTAGTACTTAAATATGCACGATATTTAAGTATATCTGTGTCATTTTAAAAAGAATTTGTAGTCACAGAACTATACTTAAGCGCGTCTTAAAATTGAGAGACGTTTAAGTATTTCAGTGTATGAGTCTAAATTTTAGACTATAATTAAATTACCTACACAATTATTTTACAGGTGCATGCCTGCTTTGAAATACTGGGCTTCGATATCCTTTTGGATCATAAATTACACCCTTATATACTCGAAGTAAGTTCAGTTCAGTACCCAATTAATTAACAGAAACGGGACTCATCAGTCGCTAAATATTTCATGATGCATTTGTCAAAAACATTTAAAACAAATTGAATATGGCCATGGTCTCAGAAAGTAGTACCTAACTGTCACAAATCATCACTAATTGACAAATCAGAGCTTAATAAATCTGTAACAATGAATTTATATTATAAAATCACTCCAGGTGAACCATTCGCCGAGTTTTCACACGGACACGCAGTTAGATCGCGAGGTAAAGGAAGGGCTACTCACAGACACGTTGACGATGCTCAATATATGGCAATGTGATAAGCGAAGAGTCCTCGAAGAGGATCGCAAGAGGATACGAGACCGGCTCCTTCAGACAAACAAGTGAGGGAGCACTCAGTAATATTTAAAAAGTAGAATAATAAAAGGGAAGTGAAAAGAAACCAGAAAACGGGTATAATTTATTAAAAATTCACAAACTGTTGCAGATTTGCAGAATTTACACCAACAGAGGAGAAAGAACCCGAAAAGAGTCCATGGCAAACACAAATACAATGGGAGGAAACGCATCTAGGAAACTATAGGTCAGTTACTACAATTTGAAGTAAGGTTTCTTTTAAAGGTAGGTAATATTTTATGTTTTAATAATATTTTTTTAATTTTTTGCAGACGTGTGTATCCGGTGGGTGAACAGTACGCGTCCTTATTCCAACAACCGTCGGGCTCGCTGTACACTGGTACCGCTTCATCGCGGGCCCGAGGAGACTGCACGCGCTTACAGAGGGAAGAATTTCAGGTACTAAACAACATCATCACTCACCCACATTTTTATAATATAATAAACGAGTAACTCTAAAATTCAAAATATATCTTCATAAAATTCAGCAAACGAAAGCCAAAGCGGAAGCCCTTAAGAAACCGTCTCAACCGAAGGGCTCCAAGGAAGGTGAGAAGAAACCCGAAGAAGGAAGCTCTACGGCTACCGTTGTCACTACAACCACAAACACAGAAAAGTCGACTAAAACAAAAGGTCGCGCCGACAAAGAACAGAAACGCAAAGACAAAGATGACAAAGATAAGAAGCTCAGCAGCAAACCATCACTCTCTCAGCAACCGGTTAGTGATGTCATTTTATAGAACCAAAAGTCAACGATTGGTTCCCAGATGACGAACGAACTCCCGTCTGCGTTGTCAGAAGGACGGTATCGACCAAAAAGGTAAAGCATTCGTTTAAAAATATTATACCTAGCGTTGAAGATTGGTTTTTCCAAGCTAATCAAAATATAGTCATTAAGAAAACTGAAACAGAAGAATACCAGGTAATCAGTACACTATCAAAGCAACCGGCTAACGATTTTATTTTAATAGGATCTTTACCTGAAGTAGGTGAATGGTTTCCGGACATTAATGGGGTACCCGTCGTCAGAAGTGATACAACAGGCTGTTATCAAGGGAATTCAAATATACGGAAGTCGATTTGCACAGAATTGCCAAGCCGCAACAAAAATCAGAATGGCAAAACAAAAAGCATAAAAGTAAATCGAAAAGTATTCATAAAAAAGTTATTATTGAGTGACTTCTACATTTAAAGTACCTTCTAAAATTTGTATTCATTTCTAACATAGGCCTAAATTACCACCTCCATTTGTTGTAAACTTTGTTATTTTAGTATAAAATACGACAAAACATAGCAAAACCTAACATTTAACATTAATAATTGAATATAGTTCTGATACTCATCTTTGTTATGACAAATAAAGTTTAAATTCACCAAACTTTTATTTATTTTCTTTTTACATAGTTGAAAATTGTAGTTAAGTTATATTTGAAACTTACTTATATTTGAAATTACTCAAGTTTGTTACTTATATTTGAAAAACGAACTAGGTGCCCGAGAAAGAGGTCAAGCCTACGTACGTGCTGTGTTCGTTCGAGCCCGATCCTATCGTGGAGAAAGAGGAACGCGAGAGAGTCAATTTGTTGGCGCAGAGGGATTTCCTCATAAGAAGTTACGGCATGTTAGAGCAGGTCAGACATACGCGTGTGAAACCCTAATATACTTTCATTCGAAAAGGATGAAAATCTAAAACTACATTTTACCCACAGATTTATTTAGTCATGAAAAAAATGGGAACGCTAAGGCCAGAAGACGAACGCAAATATGGCGTCTACGGACGTCTGTCAGTAGTTTCCAATTCGCCCAAGGTAAATGTAAATCATTCTAAGACAATGTTCTCAGGCCATTTCATTTGATTCTATGATTCTCCTTGTACTCTTGTAACTTTCATTGGCTTACACAATATTTTTGTTTTTAAATATTCAACTATGAATTGGCACTTAGAACATTGCGTAAATAACCATTCCAGAAATTAATCAATATGCTAAAATGTTGTGTTTGCCTACAGAAAGTGTGAATGTATAAGCTGCAAGAAAATTAAGCTATAAAATAGAAAAAAATTAGATGTAAGAAATTAAAGAAGGGACAGATATAAATTTTGTGTACAGACCGCCATTAAGAAGAGCAAACCAGTCGCACAGAGGCCTAACGACAACGGCGATTACTCGGACAGTGGTGAGTGCACTTTAAAACACCATTAAATCTAGTAATTAATTAATCCTTGAACGATTAGCAACGTTTAAAGGATTTAAGCGACATCTCCTAATGCGTAAGTAGAGTTAGTTAATTTAGTCACTTATAAACATTTTTGGTTCCGTAACCGACTTGACACTAGGTTTATAGGCATGTAAACAGTTGTCGTGACCATGTTAAAAGATGATTGATAGCATTTCATTAGTAGTACTTGTTATTTCCAGGACTACAGGTGCAGTGCCGTGACGTTGTGATATACGAACGGCCGTTACCCATACTGGACGTTCCAGAACGGTCTACTAAGGCACATCTTGCTCGCACCGCCTACACGATACGGAGAATGAACTCGTCTGTAATTTTTTTACCAACCAGTCTATTTATTTTTTCCTTTTGCTAGCAAATAAATATGGCGTTTCTTTTTCAGACTAGTGTCGGTACCGCTGCCCAAGTAAACGTGATACACAAATAGGACATTTGCACCAGTGCTGTTGAGTGCATGAGATAAATCAATTATATGCTTCGCTCTCTAGAGCTGGCATTATATAGACCAAGGATTGGTCAATAATGGGTATACGATAATTATCGTATACTTCTACTGAATACATTTACATTACACTGTTAAGAATTATTTTTATATTGTAATTGCTTACGTGTTCATATTTAATCATGATAATCTTAACGTCGGTATCGATTAATCCTTTATTATATTAGATTAATTTTGTCAATGTTTTTTAAATTCCGGTGCATAGAAAAATAAGCTATAACTTGAAATATTATATTTACTACAAAACTGTACTTTTATTTTACAGTTATCATTGTTTTTATTAAATAAAAGTATATTTTAATATCAAATCTATATTTTCTCTTATCATTAAACGTTTTGTAATTAATATCAGCAAGTCTCAGCAGTTCAGTTCTGTCAATTAGTTGAAGTGGTTCATATGCCTTAACAATCACAAAAAAAATGAATAAAATTACAAAACAATACATAAATTGACGTTTTCTAATTACTTTACACATATTGACACAGTTATCAGTGGCTGAAGCAGTCCGCTTATTTTGATTAATCAGTAATAAAACATAAAATCATCTGAAATGCTATAAATACAGGGCATTACATCTTAGACTGGAATTATATTTAATAGACACCTCTGTAACATTGCATGAGGTATAATATCTGTCAATAATTACATGTTTCTAGCTTTACCTCTAATGTCAACATCATTATAATCAACAATCATTATTATAAGGTAAATTGCACTTTCATTGTACTAAATCCAGCAAGTACTAAGAATGTCTTAAGTTATTTGCTAGTCAAAACTGCAGTCTTTTTGCTAAGGAACCACCATCGATGTTTTCCAGCAGTTTTCTCTTCAGTGATGGTTTATCAGCCTCTATTTTGCTAATGTTGGAAGGCATGGGCAGTTTGGAGCCTACTGATGGAGCTGGTTTGTTGCTGAAACAAGTATTTTGTAATTTAGTATAGGTATTAAACTGTCAAACACCAAGCGGTCACCGGTGACCGCGACCTATTGTTCTTTAATTGTGTCTATAAAACCGGTACTCGACGAGTTAATCAACAATTTGAGCATCGTGGCCGGTGTGGCGACATCCGCCGCTCGTACGCTTCTCATGAGTAAGAATCCTGTTGTGTCTTGAAAACTGGTAGAGCTTTTCTTAGTCATTTCACGAGAGATATTTCAATTAACAACTTGCTATTAAAAGTGATGTCTGCATATTATTACAACATACAAAATCATAATACTATGAGTATTGTGAAATAAAAACAATTTCTGTTATTCATAAACCTATTAGTATCAGTAATATATTAAAGTTAGGTATCAGTAATTAAACTATAGTATAATTCTTTTACAAACTTTTAAAAACTGACTTCAACCCCCTCTACTACAAACACTTCCTTTTTTGAAGTTTGTTAAAAATCGTAAGGCATCCTAAAAAATAAATCACCTGAAGTACGCCATCTGCAATGCCTGCGTGCAATCACACCGGTTGGGTGGATAGAGCGCAAGGAGGCTCTCTAGCAGTTGGATGAGATCATCAGACGCGGCGCTAAAAATGTGACGCAGCTGCTGCGGTGGAAAGTGCTTGAACTGCACATAGTCTGTTAAATTCTTCATACCCTGAAAGTTATACAAAAATGACTCAGCAAAAATGAAATTGGAGTGGTTTTTGTTTGTTTCGAGACTATAAAGTATGGTCATCTTAATCTAACAATAAAATAACCATAAGGACAATGATTTCCAATCAAAAGAATGTATTGTAATTTAGTTATGAATAAAAAAGTTTTCAAATCTCTGAAGCGATAATATTGTTTATTTATTGGGCCATAATGTTAATAATAATTTTATTTTAAATTCATACTGCCTCGTTGGCCGAGTGGTTGCAAATGCGACTGCCGGGCAAGGGGTCTCGGGTTCGATTCCCGGGTCGGGCAAAGTATTACTGGGTTTTTTTTTAAAAAAAATCTCAGTAGTAGCATGGAGTCTGGAATTGTGCCCGGTATATGGCAATAGGCTCACCCCCTATTACATGGGACTCATAACATAAATAGTGAAAAGTGGGTGTTACATTGTACAGTGGCATAATGTGCACCTCTGCCTACCCCTTCGGGGATAAAAGGCGTGATGTTATGTTATGTGTTATTTTAAATTCAATACTCACTGGCCAAGTTTCTTCACTTGGTGTGCCAAATACTTGGAAGATGCGCGAAAGTTGGTCCAGATCTGACTCTCCAGGTAAGAAGGGTACTCTCAGCAGTAGTTCTGCTAGTATACAACCTATTGCCCACATGTCTACACCTGTGCCATATTGTCTTGCTCCAAACAATAATTCTGGAGATCTGAAATACACTATACATTAGAGGTCACAATACAAGAAGGTACTAGCATAAAATCTTGGTTTATAGAAAGATTATTCAATTCTTTTTTTTATACATTAGATGTTATATTCATGTATCACAAACAAAGGTTTCATTTAATTTCATTTCATACTTTAAATTAATAATTGGCCAGATACTGAATTTCTTGTGACTTTTTTTACACAAATGTATAGTTATAAGATCAAAATATCTTTGTATTGTAACTTTCGTGAGCCATTCTAAATAACTGTCGCGCTGCTACAGTCGCCGCGTCGCGGGTCGCGAAATGCTGCTCATGAATATGAGCCTCTAGCATGGCTTGAAACTAGTCGATTTCCTCGTCAAATTACTACGCGAGTAAGCCGAAAACATAATAATTTATCAAAATATCTTGTTAAATACAAAACTACAAATTGATATTGTATCATTACCTGTACCACCTGGTGACTACCTGATGAGTATTGATTCTGGTTGGAGATCCAAAAGCCTTTGCCAGACCGAAATCACCAATCTTTAGAATTCCTTCCCGATTTATAAGCAAGTTGTTAGGCTTTAAATCTCTGTGCAAAATCCAATTCTGGTGTAAATATTCTAAACCTGAAATAATAAAAAGTGGTATAGAAAAACTAGACTTTAATTCACCCTTTAAGAGGTCATCCATTAACATCCTATAAATGCCCACTACTGAGCAACGCCTCTTCCCGCACGGAGATGGTTTGAGCATTAATCACCACGCTTGCTCAATCCGGTTTGCGATTTCAAACTTATAATTAGCAATTAAAGGCCCAAGTTTGCTCACGATGTTTTCCTTCACGGTTTGTCAGTAGTGTCTAGATCATCTCTAGAAAGTACATATAACTTGGAAAAAGTCACATTGGTACTTGCTGTTAGTAGGTTTCGAACCCATACCCTCATGCATGAGAACCGGACGTCTTAAACCTCTGAGCCACCACGACATTGTTAAGAGGTAATCCTACTAAATTATAAATGCATAAGTTTGCATATTTGTCTGTTACTCCTCGAGATAGAGAGAGAAGTAGATTATGGTCTGCAACACCAGATTGGCTACTTATTATACCATGTTAATGCGTTTGAAGCGGCTGGCAAAAGCTGGTAATAAAAAAATATATAGATGTAACACCCTGCTATGAGTCCCATGTAATAGATGAGGTGATTGCTATACACTAGGCACAGACAAAAGTTCTATTTTCATTATCAGATTTCAAGGGTGTAAATTATTTCTGTTTTCATGTGAGCAGTGGAATAACTGTTTGGATTGTTATAATGTCTTACCTTTTAGTGTCATAATCATATAAGCCTTAACATTAGCTGGAGTAAGCACTATAGTATTGTCTTTAACAATTATCTCCAAATCTGTGTCCATAAAGTCAAACACTAATGATACATTTGATTTTTGTCCAAATACATCTGAAAGAAAATAATAAATCAATTATAGCACTGGTTTTTGCTGAAGATTTAACAAATATAGGATATTTTATAACAAATGGGGATGATGGTTGAAATTTTGCTATAACTAACATTTTTGAAAATACTAGCAAGCCCCGTCTTTTTAACCAACCACTCCAATTCCTAATCTGTATTAGTAAATACAGACTATTCAAGTAGTGTGGTTGAATGATAAATATTCATGACATTCTCAGAGAAGATATGTAACTACTTAGTAACTAAAGTTTTACCTAATAATCCAATGAGATTGATATGCTGCAACTCCTGCAGCAGCTTTATCTCTCTCAGAGCTGTCCGGTTGATACCATCTTGAGCCTCCAGACGGGAGCCTATCTTGATCTTCTTTACGGCCACAATTTTATCTGTCTTCACATCTCTAGCTTTGTAGACAGTGGCAAACTATAACAAAGTTTTGGAGGTTATATTGTTTACTATGTACATTATTTTTACTTGTTTTTAGCTCGGCATGGCTACTGACACAACTATATTATAGTAATTCATAGTAAATTACCTGTCCCTCTCCAAGGAAGTCAATTTTTTCATACCGTAGAATTGATTCTTCCATCGTTAGTTATACTTAATTCACCAACTTAAAATACTACTTAAATCCTTAATATTGAAGTAACTATAACTGATCTTGAATCATAACATAATGTTCACACATGAACCTTAAAAAACCTCCAAAACACAATTTTTTTGAAATTTTAGCTACCAATGTTAGCTCCCGTTTGTGGTGATTTTATTTGAAATTTCAAATCTGACAGTTCAGTCAGATTATTGTTGATCAAACATTTTTTTATGCAAGTATATTCCAACTGGGGGTACTTACTTATTTAGCCACTTGTTTATGGACGGACCAAAAACTAAAAACACTGATGATTATTATTAGATCCATAAAAAACCGACTTCGAAAACTAACTAGACAAATGAAAAGTAAAAAATTACTACTATTGGTCATACTACTTATAGCTTACACACCCACTGATAGGTGAGAAGTCGGTGCCACAAGTTTTAAACTTTTTGGTATAATATTATGTTATACACAACCCACATGCTAGCTACTCTTAACCTACCCTTACTACTTAGCTACCCTTAGCTATCATACTACTTCATCATTGGACCTTTAATGACCATCACCCCCCTATGTAAAGTTCTCATCAATACAAATTATTATCAAACTCAAACACAAGATAGCTACTGTTCCGTTGAGGAGTTCCGTCGACTGGCTTTCGGCTCCATCATCATCGACTCCAGACCTTTATTAGATTGTAGTGTTTATAATACTTAATGAAAAAAAATTAACAAAAGCACTAGTCGCCCCTATAATTTAAAAAAAATCCCCTCCGTTTCCCTGGTCTTCCATCATCACTTCATCAGAAACTGAGTTCCTTATCATAGGACCATTCTGGAACTATCTCCTTTCCAACACAAAAATAGTTATCAGAATCGGTTTATAAATAACGGAGATATCGACGAACAAACATAAAAAAACATATATACGGTCGAATTGAGAACCTCCTCCTTTCAGTTTCAGTAATCAAATAATTATGTCAAACTATGACATATTTGATAATTTGATTACTGAAATAAAATCTAACATTGGGAAGTTTAAATTCATTTTTGCTTACGCATGTTTTGGGGCCCCGTATAATTGATACGGCAAATACGGCGCTAGCTGCGGCCCTGTGTAGCATCATGCATCATAGACAGAATTCAAGGCCGTTCAAATTGTCGGTGTCTTGGTTAAATACTCTAGGGTGTCGATATTATTACGTAGGTACGAATACCTTAGTAATTTACATGATTTATACGAAACTGTAACTAATCTATGACTGCCTCGTTGGTCGAGGGGTGGCTAGTGGGGCTGTTGAGTCTTGGGTTCGATTCCCGGGTCTGGCAAAGTATAACTGGGTTGTTTTTTTATTCTCTCAGTAGTAGCACGGAGTCTGGAAATGTGCCCCGTATATGACAATAGGCAAACCCCCTATTACATGGGACTCGATAACATAAATAGTGAAAAGTAGGTGTTACAATGTAGTGGCATTAAGTGCCGTAATGTGTACCTCTGCCTATCCCTTCGGGGATAAAACGCGTGATGTTATATTTTTACAAAAATGTTAACATTAGTACATGTATGTTGATTGACTCACCAACATGTACCATTACATGGCCCACCTGGGAATTGAACCCGAAACTACTCGCTCAACAATCGACTTTTTAACGACAATGATTACATCAACGAGGCAATTTCAATTTACCAATAAAGTTATGTGATTGATTACACATGCATGCAAAGATTTAGTTAGCTCAATCGGTAACTGGGAAGTAGTTGAAGTTTATTCTTGCAAGATAATGTCCAAGTCAAACAAAATAAAAAAGGAAAATAATAAAGGATTCTAATAATAATAAAAAAAGATAAAATGCATTCAGAAAAAATTTATTTCAGTAATACATTTTTTACATTCCACCTCTCAACCTTAAAACTAAATGAAGTGTAGATTCTTTTTGAATATTATAATCTGAAAGTGTGCGGCCATCTTCTAGTTGCTTGCCGGCAAAAATCAATCTTTGTTGGTCAGGTGGAATTCCCTCTTTGTCTTGGATTTTGGCTTTTACATTTTCAATGGTGTCTGATGGCTCAACTTCTAAAGTTATTGTTTTTCCAGTCAAGGTTTTGACAAAGATTTGCATACCGCCTCTAAGGCGAAGTACTAAATGCAGTGTAGATTCCTTCTGAATGTTGTAGTCGGAGAGTGTGCGTCCGTCTTCCAGCTGCTTGCCGGCGAAGATGAGTCTCTGCTGGTCAGGTGGGATTCCTTCTTTGTCCTGAATTTTGGCTTTGACATTTTCGATTGTGTCCGAAGGCTCGACCTCGAGTGTGATGGTCTTACCGGTCAATGTCTTAACAAAGATTTGCATACCACCACGCAGACGAAGTACCAAGTGAAGGGTGGACTCCTTCTGAATGTTGTAGTCGGAGAGTGTGCGGCCATCTTCCAGCTGTTTGCCGGCGAAGATCAGTCGTTGCTGGTCAGGTGGGATTCCTTCTTTGTCCTGAATTTTGGCTTTGACATTTTCAATTGTGTCCGAAGGCTCGACCTCGAGTGTGATGGTCTTACCGGTCAGGGTTTTAACAAAGATTTGCATACCACCACGCAGACGCAGTACTAAGTGAAGGGTGGACTCCTTCTGAATGTTGTAGTCGGAGAGTGTGCGGCCATCTTCCAGTTGTTTACCAGCGAAGATCAGTCGTTGCTGGTCAGGTGGGATTCCCTCTTTGTCTTGGATTTTAGCCTTAACATTTTCGATTGTGTCTGAAGGTTCGACCTCAAGTGTGATAGTCTTACCAGTCAATGTCTTGACGAAAATTTGCATACCACCACGCAGACGCAGTACCAAGTGAAGGGTCGACTCCTTCTGAATATTGTAATCGGAGAGTGTGCGTCCGTCTTCCAGTTGTTTACCAGCGAAGATGAGTCTCTGCTGGTCAGGTGGGATTCCTTCTTTGTCCTGAATTTTGGCTTTGACATTTTCGATTGTATCCGAAGGTTCGACCTCGAGTGTGATGGTCTTACCGGTCAAGGTCTTGACAAAGATTTGCATACCACCACGCAGACGCAGTACTAAGTGAAGGGTTGACTCCTTCTGAATGTTGTAGTCGGAAAGGGTGCGGCCATCTTCCAGCTGTTTACCGGCGAAGATCAGTCGTTGCTGGTCAGGTGGGATTCCCTCTTTATCTTGGATTTTAGCTTTGACGTTTTCAATTGTGTCAGAGGGTTCAACTTCCAGTGTGATAGTTTTACCAGTCAATGTCTTGACAAAGATTTGCATACCACCACGCAGACGCAGTACCAAGTGAAGGGTCGACTCCTTCTGAATATTGTAATCGGAGAGTGTGCGTCCGTCTTCCAGTTGTTTACCAGCGAAGATGAGTCTCTGCTGGTCAGGTGGGATTCCCTCTTTATCTTGGATTTTAGCTTTGACGTTTTCAATTGTGTCAGAGGGTTCAACTTCCAGTGTGATAGTTTTACCAGTCAATGTCTTGACAAAGATTTGCATACCACCACGCAGACGCAATACCAAGTGAAGGGTCGACTCCTTCTGAATGTTGTAATCAGAAAGAGTGCGGCCATCTTCCAGCTGCTTGCCGGCGAAGATCAGTCGTTGCTGGTCAGGTGGGATTCCCTCTTTATCTTGGATTTTAGCTTTGACGTTTTCAATTGTGTCAGAGGGTTCAACTTCCAGTGTGATAGTTTTACCAGTTAATGTCTTGACAAAGATTTGCATACCACCACGCAGACGCAATACCAGGTGAAGGGTTGACTCCTTCTGAATGTTGTAGTCGGAGAGTGTGCGGCCATCTTCCAGCTGCTTACCGGCGAAGATCAGTCGTTGCTGGTCAGGAGGGATTCCTTCTTTGTCTTGGATTTTGGCCTTAACATTTTCGATTGTGTCTGAAGGTTCCACTTCGAGTGTGATGGTCTTTCCGGTCAAGGTCTTGACAAAGATTTGCATACCACCACGCAGACGCAGTACTAAGTGAAGCGTTGACTCCTTCTGAATGTTGTAATCAGAAAGGGTGCGACCATCTTCCAGCTGCTTACCGGCGAAGATCAGTCGTTGCTGGTCAGGTGGGATTCCTTCCTTATCTTGGATTTTGGCCTTAACATTTTCGATTGTATCTGAAGGTTCGACCTCGAGTGTGATGGTCTTACCAGTCAATGTCTTGACAAAGATTTGCATACCACCACGCAGACGCAATACCAGATGGAGGGTTGACTCCTTCTGAATGTTGTAGTCGGAGAGTGTGCGGCCATCTTCCAGCTGCTTACCGGCGAAGATCAGTCGTTGCTGGTCAGGAGGGATTCCTTCTTTGTCTTGGATTTTGGCCTTAACATTTTCGATTGTGTCTGAAGGTTCCACTTCGAGTGTGATGGTCTTTCCGGTCAAGGTCTTGACAAAGATTTGCATACCACCACGCAGACGCAGTACTAAGTGAAGCGTTGACTCCTTCTGAATGTTGTAGTCGGAAAGGGTGCGGCCATCTTCCAGCTGTTTACCGGCGAAGATCAGTCGTTGCTGGTCAGGTGGGATTCCCTCTTTATCTTGGATTTTAGCTTTGACGTTTTCAATTGTGTCAGAGGGTTCAACTTCCAGTGTGATAGTTTTACCGGTCAATGTCTTGACAAAGATTTGCATACCACCACGCAGACGCAATACCAAGTGAAGGGTCGACTCCTTCTGAATGTTGTAATCAGAAAGGGTGCGGCCATCTTCCAGCTGCTTGCCGGCGAAAATCAGTCGTTGCTGGTCAGGCGGGATTCCCTCTTTGTCTTGGATTTTGGCTTTGACATTTTCGATTGTGTCTGAAGGCTCGACCTCGAGTGTGATGGTCTTACCGGTCAGGGTCTTGACAAAGATTTGCATACCACCACGCAGACGCAATACCAGGTGAAGGGTCGACTCCTTCTGAATGTTGTAATCAGAAAGGGTGCGACCATCTTCCAGCTGCTTACCGGCGAAGATCAGTCGTTGCTGGTCAGGTGGGATTCCTTCCTTATCTTG